AAAAATTAGCTAGGCATTGTGGTGGGCTCCTATAGTCACAGCTATTCAGGAGGCTGAGGCAACAGGATTGCTTGAGCCCAGGATTTTGAGGTTGCTGTGAGCTATGACACCATGGCTCTCTAGCCTGGGACAATACAGTAAGACTTTCTCAAAAAAAAAAAAAAAAAGGAATACTCCCTCCAAATAACCACGTTGCTTAAACCCTTTGCCACTTATTTAAGAGATAAAATCTCCATTACAGCTGGCATTTTTTTTTCTTTTTGAGACAGAGTCTCACTATGTCCTGCTGGTAGAGTGCTATGGCATCATAGTTCACAGCAACCTCAAATTCTGGAGCCCAAGCGATTCTCTTGCCTCAGCCTCCCAAGCAGCTGGGACCACAGGTGCCTGCTACAATGCCTGGCTATTCTTGTTGCAATTGCCATTGTTGTTTAGTTGGCCTGGGCTGGGTTCAAACCCACCACCCTCAGTGTATGTGGCTGGCACCGCAACCACTGTGCCACAGGCACCAAGCCAATAGCAGGCGTTTTAAAGGCTGTTTTGTTCTCAGATAGGAGGCACTCACCAATGTTTGTTGATGAATAAATATTCAAATAGGCCCAAAGTAAGATCTGTGCGATATTGTGATATATCATGAAACATGCCAGGTGCCTCATGTCTATAATCCCAGCCACTCTGAGACAGAAGGCTCACTTGAGTCCAGGAATTTGAGGCTGCAGTGAGCTACGATTATAGATTGCACTCCAGTCTGGGTGACAGAGTAAGACTCCTTCTCTTAAAAAAATAAATATAAAGAAAAGAAAAAAAGAAACATACATTTGGTCTTCATCTACAGTTCCTGGCATGGAGCTTCTAAAACCTATGCAATTTTTCTGAGTGATTGAGGTGAGAAGAAAATCTGTTATTATTCATAATAAGCCCCTTCCAGGTACAACTGCCTTTCCACTAATTTCTGACTTTTGCTGGGCCCTGAGTGGCTTCAGGATAAGGGTTCATAGATCAGATGACCACTTTGCCAATCTCTGTCAGCCTCTTTCCTGAGTCTCTGTAGGGCTCTTTCATAAGCAAAGCAGCTGAGACATGAATTTTCCTCCCTGAAGCTTTGCCAGCTATGTCACTGATGCATGCCTACCTCATTGGCAGCAGTAGCTGCTGAGCCTCCAATGTGGTGCAGTGTTCTAGGAAGGCCAGCCAAATACCTGGTCACCTGAGGATTTCACTGGACCTCTTTCACCATGGATTGGGCAATGAGTTTTTCCTTCTTAGAGTAAATAACTCTGGGCTTGTTATTTGCTTTTCTTGCCCTTTGCACTTCTGCCAACAGCAGCCTCTGTGTATGCACTGAATGGGCCTATTCACCACCACGTTCACCCATACAATATTGCTTCTGATCAAGGAACTCAGTTTACTAGGACGTGGTGTGGGGGGTGGTGTCCATGTACCTCAACGTAGAACAGAGGCACAGCCTGTTTGAGACTGGGTTACAGTGACAGGTTGGAGACAACATCTTTGGGGTCAGGGTGCTGTCCTACAGGAGGAGTAAACACTCAGACCTAGTGGCACACACACGATGCCAGGTTACACAGCCCTGGGAACTCAAGAGTGCCATTCCTCAAAACAACACCCATTGAGTCAGAATGTTTGCTTCCTGTTCCTGCCACCCTGAACTTTACCACCAAGGGTTCCAGTGCCTGAAGGGGGACTGCTTCCACTACAGGGCACAACAGCAGTAAGTTATGTAAGTGGAGACCATCTCCGGACCATTTGGTGTACTACCTGGTCAGGCTAGGAGAAAGATTGATTTAGGCAGTAAAGGCAAGTAGACATTGCTATACTTGAGACCAAGGAGGCGTGTTAATAGAAGCTAGGGGAGCCTCGAATTAATACCATGTCCTGACTCCCAATCAGTTCCCAGCCTCTTCTCCTTAGGCAAGGCCTGATGCTGAGCGCGCTGACATGCTCTGCGTTCTACAGGGCACAGAATGACAAAGAAGGTTTGGGGCCCCCTCCCCTGGCAGGGGCACAAAAGTGGGTATATAGGCTCTATTTACATCCCTCCTCCATACTTCTGTCCCTCCACCTCACAGACTTCGGCGGACCCGCCCGCCTTGAGATCCGCCCTCCGGCCCCTCCCTCCTCCAGCGTCGGGCGCCGAGGCCACTCCGGACCCCTTCCCACCCTTTCCTTAACTGCTCGCTCGGCCTCCACCCCGGGGCTTGGACTCAAAGCTGTCTCAGTGGTGATCCGGTGTGTCACCCAGCGGCAACAGCTAGGGAACGCGTGGTTAGCTCTGCGTCTCGGAGCGTCCGCTTCCGCCACTAGGCCCCGCCCAGCAGCAGCCTCCGGGAAGGCCGCACCCGGGACGACTGCAGACCGCGGTGAGTGAGCGTGGCCAGAGGGAGGGTTCCAGGCGTCCCGGGTCCTCGCCCCGGCCATGCCTGGGGGCCCGTCATCGCGACCTTCAATTCCCTTTTTTTTTTTTTTTTTTGCTCGTCTTGGTCATCCCGTTTTAGAGGCCTCAGAGGTACCCCTAAAACGAACCCTGCAGCCCTTCCCGGCTCTGGCGCCTCGGCCATTTGGACGCCCTCTCCTCCCTCAAGAAGCTGGAATCTCAAGCCCCCAGCCCCTGTCCCGTCCTTATTAAGAGGTCCCTTCCTCTGACCAGGAGCCAGGAATGCAGGCCAAAAATATATCTCCCTTTCAGACCTGGGAGGCTTGGCTTACAACCACTTCTGCTCTGAAAACCCAGAAGCCGGCTTTGATTGCTCTTTTGAACCAAGGAACTGGGTAGCCTAGGCATCGTGTGCCCCCAACTTCTACCTCGTTAGGTTCCGGAAATTTTGCTAACAACGTCCCTACCCCCATCGACTATTATATCTGAGACCCCAGAGTCTGCCCTGACCCCGTAATCCCTTACACCGAGGGTCCCAGTATAAATAGGGATTAAGGGACCATTTGTTTCTTCTTCAAGATCCTTAAATACAGGAATTCAGCTTTTGTTTCTTTGGGGGGGCGAGGGGACCAAGGGTCAAGGGATCGTAGCTCAGAACCTTCTATATCCCATGCATCGGCACCCTAATTCTGTTCTCTTTCAGGAACCCAAAAGACAGAGACCCTAGGCCTCAAACCGCATTAAACTGAGGGGCCTGGTACCCCGATCTGCTGCGACTCAGGTGTCTAAGGTTTCATCCATCATGGCGGGGGGGATGGGAGAAGAGAGCGGAGTAGACAAGGAGGGAGGGGGCAGGGAGAAGGAAAATTGAGTGAGGTGAGACCAGGGGTGGGGACCTTAGCTGAGGGGGCTTGGTCCTAAACAAACTCTAAACAAACGGGTTTCTGTGGCAACGGTCTTCCCTGGCCTTCCCTGGAGACTTCTCTAGGGCTGTGTGGGGGAGGGCAGCCCCCAGGAGTCCCCACTCCGCCAGCTGTTGTGTCTTCCTGTTTTGTCACCATGGCAACGGTGATCTCAGCCCTCCACCCCCCTCGCGGGGCGGGAGCTGGAGAGCCACCAAATTGAGAGGAGTGGTCTGAAGTGGACCCGCCCCGAGGCGGGACTAGGGTAGCCCGGGCTCGGGGATGTCCCTTTCCTCTGCCCAGCCCGGCCCTGGCCGGCCCCCGGCCCCGCCCACTCGCCACACCCAGCCGTCAGACCCTTACAGTCTACCGCTGTGGTCTTTGCTTCAGCCGCAATCTTCACAAGCTGGTTGAGGTGAGGCTGCTGGGAACCCAGAGGGCGGGAGCAGCTAACTGTCCACAGTCTTTGAGTTTAGAGGGAAGAATCGGCTGGGATTCAGAATGTCTGGGTCCCTAGAAAGACTGGGGCTGGGCCAGGATTCTTGGGTTCTGGAAAGGATGGGTACTGGAAAGGACATGGACTCAAGCAGGTCGTACGTCTGAAAGGATGGGCTGGGACCTGAACCTCTGGGTCCTAGGAAAGACTGGGCTGGACGCCGGGGCTACTGGGACTGAGGGAGGAGTGTCTGGGGCTCTTAAGTCCAGAGAGAGGACATGAGTGGAGACCTCCAACTCCTGCGTCTGAGGGGGCTGGGGTCCTGGACCCCTGGGCCTGAGGGAGAAGGAGTTGGGGACCGGAGGCTGGGACCCCCTGGGTCTGAGGGAGGAGGGCCTGGGATCTGGGACCCCTTGGGTCTGAGGGAGGAGGGGCTGGGGACTGGGATCCCCTAGATCTGAGGGGGGACTGGAAGCCAGGACCTTCCTGGGTCTGAGGGAGGAGGAGCTGGGAGCCGGGACTCCCTGGGTCCTACCTAGGGTGATGGGTTGAAGGAGGCAAGAATCTGGTAGGTGCTTTAGGACAGAAAGAGCTTGGAGTTAGGAGGCCTGGGTTTGGGGAAAAGAATGGCTGGAGTTCAGAAAGACCGGACTCCCTCCCCATCCAGGTGACAGACAGAATCGGAACTTTGGGATCCCTGCAAGCCCAGGGGCGGGGGTAAGATGCAGCGCCCGTGCTCCTAAAATGCTGGCGGTGCGGGAAGCCAGGGGAGGACAAGGCTGAGCCCAGCATCCCGGGTGCTAAGGACTGAGCCTGGAGTTCGCGGTCCGGATTCCTAGTCTGCTGAATGATGGGTGTGGCGTTTGTAGCGGAGTTTGGGGGCACCGCCGTGCTGGGTGTGGGTGTGGCGCAGGGAGTCTGCTGCTCGGTGAGGAGGTCTGAAGGGGTGTTTCTTCTTCCTTCCGTCTCCGGCTGTGCATTCCTGAGCTCTGACCTCAGGCAACGGCTGGAGCCCTAAGGGCGGGGACAGACCCCTCCCTCGCGAAGGGTCTCCCTCCCGGAACACGTCAGCCAGCACCCCGTCCCCACCCCTGCTGACCCACCTTCCGTGGGGAGCTGAGCGAGTTGCGCCCTCCTCTTCCATCCCCTTCTTTGGCAGCAGCCCGCCTTCCAGAGAACAGGGGGCTGGGCTAGTCCCGACTTCCTCCTAACGGGTCTTGGGAGCGGGTGTGGGGGAGCGGGAGGTGTCCCAAGTGGTGTGGCACCTCCCAGGTGCTCCAGGACTCGGCGGTGGGCTATTGGTCTCCGGGTTGGACTCTAGCTCTGCGGGTAGAGTCCAGCTTGGTCTGCAGCCGGAGCCCCGAGAATCCGAAGTCCCAGACCACTCCTCTCTTAGAGGCACGCTTGAGGGTCCAAGCTCCCCAGCCTTTATAGGGACCCAGAAATGCAGGCTCCTAACCCTCTCCTCCTAAGATCTGGGCGTCTGAGTCGGCGTTCCCTTCCCCCGAAATCCAGGAGAGGACCGGAGGTCCAGGAACAGCCTCCTGGTCTCGGCCGTATTCCAGAAGGCTGGGCTGACTTGAAGCCCTTATAAGGCGCGGAGCCGCTGGGCCTAGCTGGGCAGCCCGCCCCCGCGGCCGCCGCCCAGGCTCTCCCGCCCACTGGCCGCAGGCTTCCCTGCCTAGCCGGGTTAAGATCACACACGTGCCCACCCCTGCCCGCAGGGCGTGAATTTTGGCCCGCGTTCTCCTCGGCCCCCCTGCGCCAGCCCACACAGTTAGTGGAAGCAGAGGAAGGAGGAGGGGCGGTACCTCTCTGAGGTCACGATCCCGGCCCTTTCCGCGCTCCTAGCCTAGTGCCTGCTCTGGCAGGGAGGTGCGCCCGGCCGCTGGGCCTAGCAGCCTGGTCCGCGGGTCTTGTGGGTCCCGGTAGGGAGGAGCCCGATATAGGTGGCCGCTGACGTCCTCTCTTCCCGTCAGGTGCTCTTACCAGCCTTATCCAGGTGTGGAACTTAGTCCGTGTCCACAGCCAGATCTTTCTCCGTGGGTTCCTCCGCTAAGGCCGCTGGTGAGTGGGCTGGGGATCTGGGCCCCTGAGTCCGAAGGAGGAGGGGCCACGGTTCAGACTCCTGAATGCAAAGGGAGTTGAGGACAGAGGAACCGCACCCTTGGGTCTGAGGGAGGAGGGGGTGGGAACCAGGATTCTTAGATCCTGAGAGAAGGGCCTGGAAGCTTGAGTTCCAAGGAAGAGGATCACAGACATTGGTATCTGAGGAACCAATGTTCAGATGTGTCCAGGAGCTGGGCCCCTGTGCCTCTGGGACCTGCTGTTCTGGGACCGCTGGCCTGGAAGAGGTTAGGACCTGTGGTAGTGCTCCTTCATTGGAAGGAGGAAGTGCTATTTCCTCGTGGCTGAGAGAGGCCGCCTGAATATTTTAGTGGTTTCGGCTGAGTGTTTAGAGATTTTGCAGCCTGAGGAATGATTTGGGCACCTTGTCCCTAAGAGGTGGGGCATTTCGATCCCTGAGGGTCTGTAGGACAAGGAGGTGAAAGCTGTGGTTCTTGAAGAAGGGAAGAAAGGCATTAGTTTCCCAGAATCAGGGGCATCTGTTGTACTCATGGCCCAGGGCCTGGTGTCCAGAGGTCTGACCTTGCATAATGAGACCTGGAAACCTAGAGACTACGCTGGAGGGGCCAGGGCACTGGATTGTCAGGAATCTGGGGAGTTGAGTTTTCCAGAAGTTGGAGAACCAGCTAGCTGGGTTCTGAGACGGTTGGGGGAGGAGGAAACTAAGCTTCTTTGGGCAGCAGCACCCCAGCCCTCCTTTTCTGGCAGGGAGTTAGATTGAGTTGTAGATTCCCAATCTCTGTGGTGGGAGGTGGGAAGAGGATGGGGCTGCTGACCCTTGAGACCCAGTTCCTGCAGGGAGGGGAGAGCCTTGGTTTTCCAGGGCTGGGAGCTCTGTGAGAGGAAGCAGATGGGCAGGTTGGGACTCTGACTGGTTGTGGGTCCCTGAGAGTATAAGCCCTCAAGATTGGATTCCTGATCGTTTAGAAGCTGGAATGTTGAGATCACTGTTAGTTGTAGGAGAAAAGTTTGTTCACAGGGGCTGGAGTGCAACTCTCTGCATACCCAAAGGGAGAAAGTTGAGAGATGGGGTTTTCTATACAACACTAGGGTGCTATCAGGAGGCAGAAAACAGGGAGGATGCTCAGACCAGAATCTTGAGTGACTGGGTTTCAGGAAGGAGGGTATCATTGGGAGTGGGGAGGAAGCAGTGCAGTTCTGCAGTGCCTAGGCCTCCAAAGAGAAGATGGGTCTCTTGGGTAGGAGAAAAATAGAAGTCTAGACTCCTGGGTTCTAGCAAGGGTGAGGAAGGAGTAAGCCTAGAACTGAAGTGACCAATGCATCTTTGTATGCCCAAGGACTGTCCTGGTTTGAGAACTGAAAGCTGCTGGGTGCAGTGGCTCATGTCTGTAATCCTAGCACTCTGGGAGGTTGAGGCAGGTGGATTAATTGAGCTCAGGAGTTAAGAGACCAGCCTGAGCAAAAGTGAGACTTCATCTCTACTAGAAATAGAAAAACCAGCCAGGTATTATGGCGGGCACCTGAAGCCCCCGCTACTTGGGAGGCTGAGGCAAGAGAATTACTTAAGCCCCAAAGGTTGAGGTTGCTGTGATCTATGACACCATGGCTTCTACCCAGGGCAATAAAGTTAGACTCTGTCTCAAAAAAATAAATAAACAATCCCTCCCCCCCCCAAAAAAAACCTGAAAGCTTCACATTCTGGGAACTCCCTAGCTAGAGCCCAAATTAATTTGTCCCAAGAGGAGGTGGGGGCTTAGGCGGCCTGAATCCCCTTGTTTGGAACCTTGTGAGGACACTGTCTTTCCCTTTCCCCCAGCCATGCCGGTGACAGTGACCCGCACAACCATCACGACCACCACGTCGTCCTCCTCCGGCCTGGGGTCCCCAGCCATCGTGGGGTCTCCTCGGGCCCTGGCACATCCCTTGGGCCTCCTCCGCTTGCTGCAGCTGCTGTCCACCTGCATAGCCTTCTCACTGGTGGCCAGCGTGGATGCCTGGACAGGGCCCATGGGTAACTGGTCCATGTTCACCTGGTGCTTCTGCTTTGCCGTGACCCTGGTCATCCTCATCATCGAGTTATGTGGGCTCCAGGCCCGCTTCCCCCTGTCTTGGCGCAACTTCCCCATCACCTTTGCCTGCTACGCAGCCCTCTTCTGCCTCTCAGCCTCCATCATCTACCCAACTACCTACGTCCAGTTCATGTCTCACGGCCGATCTCGGGACCACGCCATTGCCGCCACCTTTTTCTCCTGCATCGCTTGCGTGGCTTACGCCACTGAAGTGGCCTGGACCCGGGCACGGCCCGGTGAGATCACTGGCTACATGGCCACTGTGCCAGGGTTGCTCAAGGTGCTGGAGACCTTCGTGGCCTGCATCATCTTCGCGTTCATCAGCAGCCCCTACCTGTACCAGCACAAACCTGCCCTGGAGTGGTGTGTGGCAGTGTACGCCATCTGCTTCATACTGGCAGCTGTTGCCATCCTGTTGAACCTGGGGGACTGCACCAACATGTTGCCCATCCCCTTCCCTAGTTTCCTTTCAGGACTGGCCTTGTTGTCTGTCCTCTTCTATGCCACTGCCCTTGTCCTCTGGCCCCTCTACCAGTTTGATGAAAGGTATGGTGGCTATCCTCGGAGGTCAAGAGATGTGGGTTGCAGTAACAGGCACTCCTACTACGTGTGTGACTGGGACCGCCGACTGGCTGTGGCTATTTTGACAGCCATCAACCTGTTGGCATATGTGGCTGACTTGGTGTACTCTGCCCGCCTGGTTTTTGTCAAAGTCTAAGGCTCTCCCAGGGCTCCCATTTCTCTTTCCAATATCTTCATCTTTCTCACGAAGGAGTTTACTTTCCCCCCTTCTCCTTTCCTTCCTGGTTCATCACACACTCTCCCCTTTCTTTGATTCCTTTTCACCCCTTTCTTCTTGTTCTGTTTCCTTGCCTTCCTGTTTTTGTTTTGTTGTCCACATCCTGTTTTGCCTGTGCTCTCTTCTCCACTCTCTTCTTTTTACCTTTTCTTCCTCCTATCTCTTTTCTGGGTTTCCTGCTGTTTTTTCCATCACCTCTTCCCATTTCCTTGGGAGCCCTGAGACTTCTTTCTTCTCTGCCCTCCACTCACCTCCAAAGGTGCTGAGCTCCACACATCCCACACCTTTCTTTGCAGCTGTCTGTGTCACAGGCCTCCCAAGGGGCCTAATTGCCAAAGCATGCCTGCCTGCCCTAGCTGTGCCTTAGTCAGTGTGTGTATGTGTGTGTTTGGGGAGTTGGGGAGGTGGGTAGTTCGGAATTGGGCCCTCTTTCTCCCAGTGGAGGAGGGTATACAGTAGACCTCCCCTTTAGGTTAAAAAATCTTTGGGGGTCATTAATTTTCAGTGGGCAGGAGGCTACATGCACAGATCCTGGGACCTTAGGCCCCACCTGGCAGTGCTCAGCCTTGCCTGAGATCAGTTCTAGAAGTTTTGCCAGCCTTACTAAAAACCCACTGCCTCTAGGCCATCATAAATGAAGCAAGAGACTGGTACCCTTCATCCCAGCTATTTTCTGTTGTATCAGAAAAAGGAGTGAGGCAAAGAATAGCTGTTTAAAGTATTTGTTAGGGCAGTAATGTGGCCCGCTAGCCTCAGTGTTAAAAATAACATGTCCTGCTTTGGCAGGGAGAAGAAAATGGCCATGGCCGACTTCAAGGCAGTATCAGCTTGGGTTTATTTCTTTTCTTTTTCTAGTCATGAAAGCAAAAATTACTGGGTGGCCTCATGGTTAAAGAGAGAAATTTCTTTTCAGTTTTTCTTTTTGGGGGGGTGGGGAAGGATGGGGATTAGTGCTGCCATAGCCAGAGGAATGGCCTCACATGAGTGTGGTGCGCACACACGGGTATCTATGTGTTAGTTGCTTCTTGCTGCTGCTTCTTGCTTCTTTGAAACTCACGTGCGCAGCATGATATATATAAATGTATAAATATATATTTTATTTTTTTTAATTCCCTGGAGCTTTTGGTTTCCATCAGTTTCTGTTCATAGATGCCTTGTCCCTTCCCCCATTCCCACATTCATAATGTTTTTTAAAAATCTCAATATAAAGACTTAAAAAGGGATTTGTGCTTTCTTTGTTATTGGGGAGGATTCCAGGGGAGGGGCAAGTTCCAGATTCCTCAGTCTTGTGGGAGAAGGGGATTGGGAAAAAGACGATCTTGGTCTCATCTGAAAATGCTTGTTGAGTCTGGGTCCTTCTAAATTACTTCCTCAAATTAGGAGGGCTGGGTGGGATAGAAACGAACAAGATTTCTCCCTCCTTGGAGTCCCATGAGCACCTCAGAAATACAATGCCCCAGTTTGAGTTTTGGAGCTTTCTTCCAAAATTATTTCTTCCTTCCAGGTTCCCCACTTCTGGGCTGAGAACCCGAGCACTTGCTCTGACCTTCCCTGTCTTCACTGGTTCATCAGACACTTTCTATTTTTCCTACATACTATTACTATCTTCCCCTTCTCCAGGTTCTTGGTCCAGCTCAGGTTCCATTTTGTGTCACCTGAGGTAATGCCCCCAGCCTTCTTGGCCATATGACCTCTAGCCTATTCTGGCCCTAGAGGGATTGGATTCTTTCAACATTCAGATCAGATCCTGCCCTCCTCCCCTGCTCAAGTCCTTCTATATCCCACTTCACGTTGTCTACAGGTAACTATCAAAGCTCTTCAGGACCTGATCCTGCCTACTTTCCTACCATCAGCTCTATCTTATCTTCAGGTCTAAGTTCTCTGACTACCCCTAGTAAATAGAAAACCTTCATAAAGGCCAGGGATGGTGGCTTATACCAGTAACCCTAGCACTGTGAGAGGCCCAGGAAGGTGGATCACAAGAGCTCAGGACTTCAAAACTAGCCTGAGCAAAACTAGTGAGACCCCATCTCTACCAAAAATAGTAAAAAAAATTAGCCAGGCATTGTGGCAGGCACCTGTCATCCCACTACTCAGGAGTCTGAGGCAAGAGGATCACTTGAGCCCAAGAGTTTGAGGTTGCTGTGAGGTATGATGATGCCATGGCACTCTATCCAGGACTACAGAGTTAGACTGTCTCAAAACAAACAAAACTTTCTTTTTTTTTTTTTTTTTTGAGACAGAGCCTCAAGCTGTCCCCCTGGGTAGAGTGCCGTGGCATTACAGCTCACAGCAACCTCCAACTCCCGGGCTCAAGCGAGTCTCTTGCCTCCGCCTCCCAAGTAGCTGGGACCACAGGCGCCCGCCACAACGCCCGGCTATTTTTTGGTTGCAGCCATCATTGTTGTTTGGCGGGTCCGGGCTGGGGATTCGAACCCGCCACCTTAGGTGTACGTGGCTGGCGCCTTAGCCGGTTGAGCTATAGGCGCCGAGCCCAAAACTTTCATAAGATCAAGTGACTTACTCCAGTGATGACTCGGTCTCACAGAAGATTGTTTATCCTTTATCCCAACTTCAAGAGAATCACAACTACATATGTAAGTCTGAGAAAATTCCAAAATTCCAGGATCACACAACTTTTCTTCTGTAGCTCCACCTATAACAATCGGGAAGAGATACTGCAAGGGAGGGAAGGGTCTCTGGCAGGTCAGGAGGAGGAAGGGGCCAACTAGGACACACTCCTTTAGGCGAGGAAAAGCCTTCCGCCTGCAGCAATCCCTGTCTTCTTAAAGGGCATCTCGGCCACCCTTCCTTCCCCTATCCCATGCTTGGACCCTCTCTAGAAGGAACCAGAGAGATCACTATAGAACCCAGGTAATGCATTGGTAACTTCAAGAGAGAAGCCAAGGAGTGCTGTACTGGAACTTGGTGGGAAACAGTTGAGGGGCCACCCCAGAACCCCCCTATCCTTCGTCCTGCGGCACGACCGACGCCTCGAGGTGGCTAGAAGGCCCATATTTGAGGACGGGGATCCTTAGGAGAGGTCTCGAATTCTCTCGCCTCCTTTACGGCTTCGAGAATCTCGGAACCCCGACCCGGACCCACAAAAACAATCAAGGACAGAGCCGGGTTGGTGTTCAGAACCCCCTGGGCACCGCTGCAACGCTCAGCCCATCCTCGCGTGGCATGCCGGGAAAGGAAGTTCTCGGCCGCGTCCCGAAAACAGCTGTCCGGAGGTTGGGACTACAGGTCCCAGGATACTCTGCGCCGACAACCCAGGACGGACGCTGGTTGCCCCTGGTAACAGGGCGTTCCCCCCGGAGGGGGTGGGCGGACAGAGCGCCTCAGGAGAGGCGGAGGGGCGGGTGGAGCGCCAAGGGGAGGAGGGCAGGAAGAGACCTACCCCACTCCCGAGACAGAGACTCGCAGAAAGGACTCCCGAGGCAGCCAGACAAGCCGAGATTGAATCACAGAGACGTAGAGACATACAGTGGGGGTGGGGGGGGTGGGGGGAGAGGAGGGAGAAATAGATAAGAGAGAGAGAGTCCCTGGGCAAAGAGAGACAAATGGAGAGGGTCAGAGAGAGAGAGAGAGAAAGATGAGGACGGAGAGAAACTGCATTACAGAGACACGGGGAGGAGATGCAAATATTCGGAGACCCCAGCAACACAGATTCATAGGGCCAAAGACAGAAATAGATTGAATCAGAGAGACACAGAGGGAGAGACCCCACCCCCACCAACACCCCCCGCCAGAGAGAGGGAGCGAGAAAGTCATAGAGCTAGAGAAACAACTAGTGGATCAGAGAGAAAAGGACAGAGATACACAGAGCCAGTGAAGAGAGATCCTGAGTCATAAGGAGGAGAGAGATTCAAATATTCAGAGAGTGAGAGAACCCCCTAGCGACAGAAGGAGAAAGTGACAGAGCCAGAGAGGGTCAGGCACAGTGAAACAGATTGAACCAGAGAGATACAGAGGAGAAATAGGCAAGCAAAACAGAGAGGAGTAGGGGAGAGAGAGATACGAGGGTGGGGCAGGGATTGGTTTCTAGAGCCAGAGAAACACAGCCAGAGAAAAGGAGAGAGATAGAGACAAAAGTATTAATACAACTCTCTATAAAGACAAGAGTGTGCAGAGAGAAAGAGAGAGGAAGAGGAGATGGGAGCATGCATTTAGAAAGCAAGAGAGAGAGAGAGAGACAGAGAGAAAAGAGTGTCACAGAACCAAAAGACTAAATAGAGACAGGGAAAAGGAGAGACTTAGGGAGACAGAAGCAAAAGAATATTTAAGACATTCAGGAAAGACAGAGGGAGACGGATTGAGACAGAGAAAGAGGACCAGAGAGGGTGACAGCCATAGTGGAGACACACAGCAAAGAAAATTTTAAAAGAAATAGAAAAAGTAATTCTCAGAGATAGGGAACGGAAAACAGATTCACCAAGGGTAGGGGGAGAACTCCAGGAATAGAGGGAAAGAAACAGAGGTCAAGACAAAGAAAAAGAAGACCAGTTAGGGTTAGGGCGCAGTGACTCATTCCTGTAATCCTAGCATTGTGAGAGGTCTAACTCAGGCGTTCAAGACCAGCCTGAGCAAGAGCCAGACCTGGTCTCTAAAAATAGCCACACGTTGTGGTGGGCACCCTTTAGTCCCAGCTACTTGGGAGGCTGAGGCAAGAGGATCGCTTGAGCCCAAGAGTTGGAGGTTGCTGTGAGCTGTGATGCCAAGAGCACTCCACAAAGGGTGACAATGTGAGACTCTGTCTCAAAAAGAAAAAAAAAAAATTCCAGGAAGACAAAAGAGACACTCCCAGTGAGAGACAGCCTCGAAAATCCAAAGGCTGGGAAAGCGATAAGGACCCAGAGAGCATCAGATAAAGTGAGATATCAAGCCTGCCTGTTCCCCAGTGGATCACACTGAGCCCAAAGTTTGTTGATTGAAAGAGAGGGACACGTTCAGACACAAATTTTCGAGTGGGCTAGCAGGACCCACCGTGTCACCCAAGTAGAAGAGGAAGGCGGGGCAGGATGACAGATTGGAGGCGGGTGGAGCAAGACTCAGAGGATGCACCCCCCCTTCAGCCAACCTCCGGAGTGGGTGTGTGCACGTGTGGGGCTGGGGGAGGGAGGACATTTGTCCCGTGTCTCAGGGAGGGGGGCGCCTTTAAGCCGAAACCCCGCCCTCTCGGTCGCCCTGGCAACGCCTCCCCCCACCCGGGGCTCCCACATTTCAGCAGGTGCCGGAGCTGGAGCTCCCACCGCCGCCGCCCGTGCCTCCGGCTCCGCGGCGCCCCAGCCTTCGGCGCTTACCGCACCCCCACCACCACTTGTCCGCTCCCCTTGGCGGAGCGGGCGCACCCGCGGGTGCCTCTCCCTGTCCGCGCGCTCCGCGCCTGGAGGTGCCTCGCCCCTCTCCTAGCCACCTCGGAATCACCGCGTCTCCGGCTCCTCTCCCTTCCACCTGTTTCCCCAGAAAGGCAGGATCCTGGTCCCTGCTACGTTCCGGGGGCCATGGCGGGTCTGGGCCCCGGCGGAGGCGATACAGAAGGGGGACCCCGGCCCCTGTTTTGCAGAAAGGGGGCTCTGAGGCAGAAGGTGGTCCATGAAGTCAAGAGCCACAAGTTCACCGCTCGCTTCTTCAAGCAGCCAACCTTCTGCAGCCACTGTACCGACTTCATCTGGTGAGGGAAGGGGGCTGGGGACCTGAGGGAGGAAGGACTAGGGGTGCTGACTCCTCTCACACCAGATTTTCGAGGAAAGAGGGGGCTGTGGTCCTCACTCCTGGGTTCTAGGATGCGGGGGAGGGGCAGTGGACGTCTGGGAGCCTGGACTCCTGGGTCTGAGGGAGGAGGAGGCAGGGATCCTGGAGTCCTTGGTCAGTGGGAGAAAGAACCAAGGGGCTGACTCTCTGAGAGAAGGTCTGGGGACCAAAATTTCTGGGTTCTAGAAAGAGGAGGCAGCTGGAGTACAGACACTTGGCTCCGCGGGAGGAGAGTCAGAGGACTCAGGCCTCCTATGTCTTGGAGAAGTAGGGGGTCCAGGTGTCCCTTTCTTCACTGATCTCAAATCCTTGCCTCTTCTAGGGGTATTGGAAAACAGGGCCTGCAATGTCAAGGTAAGAGCTGGGGACCTGGACTCCTGGGTCCCTCAGGAGAGTGGAGGCTGGAGGCTGGGGCCCCACAGCTGAGGCTGCTTGACACACGTGTTCTCTGGTCCCCAGAGAGGCG